TTCTTGAAAGTTGGACAGAAACGCCTTTTTCTACAGTAACTATGCATCTATCTAATGTAGTCGATGCGCCATTTTCCAGAAGCCAACACGAGGGTTCGTCAACCTGCTAGTTTTGTCATATTTTTAAAAGTCAATGTAATGAACGCCGTCCTGAAAAGTGAACACCACTCTGAAAGGCGAAGCACTGAAAAGCGAGTGGCGAGGATACTTCACATATACGCCCATTATGCAAACAACCATACAAAACTCCGGGTGATTGATCTGAATGACTGCAGGAACAATGATTTTTCTCAACTACACCACCATATTCTATTTCATTTTATTGGCAGTTACACAAAAGAAACAGGGGGAAAATCTACACACAAAATGTCAATGCTTTCTTTCCTGGCGCTTTTGACAATGTAAACATTTTAATCTTTCATGTTGACCATTCTCCGTATTTGCGCGGTAACATTCGACAATACCACTGATTCGTTCGTCGACTGACACGTTCCGCTTACTATGTTCGAAATAAAATACCTGGCGGGCATAGGTAATATATGGATATATTTGGAATAACATCATACATATAAGGCAGTGAGGAAATTACTATGTTTTTTATTTGTGCAATTTAGTGTTAAAATGAGTGAATGTAGATGAAGTACTGGTTTGGTTGACTATTGTATCCTGCCAGGCGTACTACAATTACAGTTTATTTTCAAACAGTTAGGGAGTACTGTACGGGGCTCTCACCTATTTTTGCAGCAAAAACAATGGAGCAATACCCATATGTGCAATATCAACGTAATAAATGAATGGGATTTGTAGGTGATCAGAACTGATCCTCGTGGTGCCGTCCAATGCAATATACAAAGAAAACATCGTTTCACCGGGGTTTTACAGGCCAGTGTTTATAAAAACTATTTATATTTATTTAATCCTAATATATTACACTTGAACTGATACGTTGTGTGTGCCTTTTATTTAATTTTCACCCCTCCAGCCAAGTTTACAAATATTGTCATATCCCGGGGTTTATATCTCACGTCTTGTGACACGCTTCCCGTTTACTCCTTACGTTATACCTGGACTGAGGTGCAAAGTTTGATTCACCATATTTGCTTACAAATTGTTTTGGTGTGCGTTCTACATTGATATAACTGTATAGTGCAACACCGTATAACTTGTGTACACTTTTGGTACTATTCAAATAAACTATCATATATTCATCGAAATTCTAATAAAACATGGAGAGCACAGCAGAAAATATTGCGGAATAAGACAACAATCACAATTCATCATTCTTTAGACCAGTTAGTAATGTAGACATCCTATACAGCTGGATATGATGAAATCCATTTAAAAATTATATATTGACGCCACTGGTTTCCTAACCGCTTACCCAGTAAACTGTTCGCTTATTAGGCAAGGTTATTTCCCAGATTCTGTTCAAATTGCCCAAATTATGCCTATTTATTAAAGGAGAACTACATAGAAGTTAGTAACTATCGCCCAACCTCTATTCTATTGATTTGCAGCCATAATATACAATTAATCTACTATTTAAACAATTAAATCCACTTACAACAAGCCCAAGCTGACCTAGTATCTAATATAACTGACAATATAAACACGGATTTTATCGCATTTGGTTTGGTATGTTTATTTATTATTAAAAGGCTTTTGAGACAATAAATCATAATTTCCCTTTTCAGAATGTATAACATCATGGGATCCGGGGGTTGCCACTTTTATTAATCTAAAACTACTTTTCAAATCGCCTACAATCACTTGGGATACAAAAAAAGCTCTAGCTCCTCGTTCGTTGAGGGCAGTCTCGGCATCAATGAAAATAGAGAGCGTTCCTTCAGCACACTACATCGAGCATCATCTTAATTAGAAAAGTCTTAATGAAGACGATTAGAGTCTATTTTAATAACACGTCCCGCTCGTAACATAATTTATAAACATTTCTACACATACATTGGAACACTCTGTTGCCCTGATAAACAAATAATCGGGCTCGTTGCTTAGGAACACTCCGTCTACGTACACAATACCATTTGATTCAACGACACTTGCGGGAGACATGGGTGTAATAACTAGCCGAAGGGCGACTTTACTGCTGTTTGTATTGCTGCAGATGTCAGTCTGTGAAACAACAGGTGAGAAACGTTTTTTGTTTGTTTTGTATTTGTTGCCTTCACTGACATACAGCATATCAACACTTCTGAAACAAAGCTAACCGTGCAGCGTCTGCTGTCTTAATTTTCAATTGACAAAGTGAACTTGCGTAACGTCCAGTGGTTCGTCTTTGCAAAACTCACTTGTTTATGACGAGTATTGGAAGTTTAATTCATTTTTAGAGCTCTTAGAGACAATGATTGAAGCGGTCCATTGGTCAAAAAAAATAGTATATTTCTGAGGTGTTTCCGCAAGTGTAACAATCGACAAGACTGCTGAAGTAGATTCGAACATAAACCTGAAGAGGGTGTATAACTCACCAGATGATACATATTTGCAATTAAACATGGATACAACCACATTCACTGCGGGGAATGTTGTTTTGCGATTGAAAACTACATCGCAATGCTTCTTAAATTGCTACGTCATTCAACTGACTATTCAGCCACAGTACGACTTATTGACTGATTCCATTGACGTATATTTATTTGGTCACACCCCGTAATGTTTGACACTGCACTCTATTTACTTTGTCTATTATCCCCACTTTAAAATTACCCAATGACACGGCTTTGAGTATTTAGCGAAAGAGAGTTTTGCCTGGCACAAACCAGCAATTATCATCATTAACAGGACATGATTTCTTGAAATTTCTCTTTTGAAAATCATCTCGTCCGCTCTTACCAGATCAATCTGAAAAAAATAAAAATATTATCATTATTATCTCGAGCAATGCAATATATGAATCAGAAATATATATTAATTTATGGTGTTATAGAATAAATTAATAGTAATTGCATGTAATACGTTATGTGCGTGGAAAACATGACAGCCGACTGTCACATGAATCGACATTTTTCTGGTAAATTCTGCCAAAGATTTGTATAATATCGTTAACTCAGACCATTTCTTTGAACGATGTCGGCAAGGAAATTATGACATTCAAAATTGAGGCTCAACAAGTAGAATAATAACTAAGATGGAACAATAATAATATTGATTAAATTCAAGGAAATTACCAATTTCCAATAGGTACATGGCGAGTGCGCGCACAAAATAATGTATAAATCTGTTCGAAATTGCTAAAATCAAGTTATCGGCACGTGCACAGTATATCCGCTTATACTGATGACGATCGAAGGCAAATTTTCCGATATATATACTCTGTAACAGTATTCAGTCGATTCAGTATTCAGTGTTTTATATTATTTAGGTGTTTTTAATTTAATCTGTGTTTTATTGACAAATCTGACAATGTTTTCCATTTCAGAATACTTAGAAGATAACTGTGGTGAAAGTATTGTGAGCTATGGCGGTCGCCTTGAATCACAGAGATATGCTACTTACCGAAATAATTTTCAGTGTGACGTAATTTTGGAGGCACCGAATGAAGAATACAAACTAATAATCCAGGTAGAACTATTTCTAGATTGTATGTCTTAATTTACAAGAATTGCCACTGTTTGTTTTGTTCAATTAATAATTGTCGCCGAATAATGACGGTTTACACAATCAACACACGCACACGTATATAAATATCCGCATATAACAGCCAGGGTAGCCATTGCACACGTACACATGACGTGTTCCCAAAATGGTAATATTTATTTCTTGAAAAACCCACACACTCACATTTACACTTTTCAATAAAGATCTGTATTGTAGTTTCCAAGAATAGACATAACATATCAAATGCATTATTGTAGAAGGTTTCGACCTGAAATGTGACAACTGCGTGCAAGTTTTAATTGTGACCATCCAACACTCGTCGGTTATTTGTTGTTACGATGGCATTGGTATGGCAGAGACATCTGCCAACGCTTTGAAGTTTGAACGAGATTGTAGTACTGTTATAACTGTAAATCAGGCCGAATTTGGAAAATGCTGTACCGATAACTTTGACTAACACGAGTAACTGTACGTCAAACGATCAATTTCATTTGGTGCTGAGTAAACGGAACGACATATATCATGTCATCAATGCTTACAAGTATTATGAAGTCGGAAGTTTACTTCCAGTATAGCTGTACATAGTCAGTAATACGGATGTTTGCTTTTTTAATAGTATGACTACATAGATTTGGAATACTTTGATGATACAAGCTGCGTTGACTATATTGAAATTCGTGATGGTGATAGCTATTCTTCAAACTTATTATTGAGGGATTGTACACAGGATGCGGTCGAAGGTTATTACTATGAATTGACATCACACAAAGTAATGGTACGAATGGTTACTGATGAATCAATCACTTCAAGGGGATTTTCGTTAACCTTCACTGCAGTTACATGTGAGTATTGTTGTGTCTCATTAGTAAACTGTACAATATGGAAGGTTGCAGTTGACCAATTTGTTTTGAGACTCGCACGCCACATTAACGCCATGTTAGTCTTGATATTTGCAATATGTTTATGTATTCAGTTAATCATTCAGATTGCACCAACGATGGAATGTTTGATTGTGGTAATGACTATTGTATCATCAATGATCTCACTTGTGATGGTATCGATAACTGTGCGAACAACCAGGACGAGATAGATAACAATAAAAACTGTCCAGTCGTTGGTCCTGATATTGATAAGCCTGACCGTGACCGTGGTAAGTCACGAACCATTCATATGCTGTAATATTTACGTGCATGAGTTTCGTTATCTGCGACAATTTGTGTTTTTTAACAATCTTGTTTTTTTTTTCATTAAAGCAGGAGTAAACATAGCAACCGATGCAGTGACCACCGTGCTGATCAGTTTGATGGCAACGTATTGGTTTGAGTGGTAACAAGCATTATTTCTACACCGCGTGGCAAATAAGTGACCCATAACATTATTAGTAGGATAAAACTAAACTGTGCATGTGTTGTTGTTATTCTATGATAACTAGTCATTTCCCAGTATAGTCCAAACTAATGTATTAACTATTTGAATACAAAAGCTAAAGTTTGCTACTGCGTATTCGCTCCCATATGATGCTCGTGTATCTAACTTTGTACTGCACTTTTCAATTTACAAAATCTCTAAGCAATACAGATGAATTTGTTAGCCATAAATATTAGTTGCAACCTCTTGTGACAAATCCTTAACCACTAACAATTCATATTAGTTGTAACGTCCTGTGCCGTGATCATAGTAACAATCTATACAATCTATATTAGTTGAAAACGTTTTAGAGCTCATTTGATAATTCAACTATAACTGTACAGACTGATGAATCAGAAACATAAACATATAGTAAACTTATTAATTATTAGTTTTAGTTTCGCTAATTAATCAAACGCTAGTAAAACCTAGATGAACTCGTCAATTTGACTAATGTAAATTCAGGGGGATGGTGGTAAAACTATTAATAGTTTTCTCCCATAGGGAAATAGCGGGCACGTAGTAGCTTATAAATACACATTGTTTTATTTGTTCAGCTTGTAAGTAGATATTTCGCATTTTTATGAACATACATTTTTACTTGACACTAATCGAGGTTAATGATCCCTGAGTTGATATGCTAATAAAGGCCAATCAAGAGGGCGGGACTGTGAGTTCAATATGTGTGTCTTGCTTGCTTGGGATTGCCAGCATCTCAGAATTTTCAAGGTAAAATTTTCCAGCTCATTGCCTGCCCTGTATAACCTTGAAGTATCTTATAAAATAGTGGCCAATGCGTGTAGCGCCGCTTTTGTTCAAATAGAAAAATGGTCAGCCAATCTACTACAGGAAAATGTGGTATTGTATTGCCACATCTGTATAGATATTTTAAACATTGCCAAGGACACTGACGTTCCGTAACAATTGAAACAGCAATGAGCCCGTCCTGGCCGCTTCCCGGATGAATCAATCTCTCATTACTTTTCTTTCCAGTATTAAGGTTGTTCTAAGAATCAAGGATAGTTTTATTTAAGTGGAGCATATGGTTACACCAGCAACTCTAGTTATTATTTTTAACACTCTGCTTCCTTTCTAATAAAACAAGGAGTTGTAAGATCATGAACGTTGTATTGGTACATTTTGTGTTATATATCTCAGCTGTAAATCAGAGTTCTACATACACGTAAAATAATTTAGATGACATTTGTATAGATTAACTAACTCGCAAATAAACAGTTTATTGTATGTCATGCTTGAAGATCTCCTATATTCCGTCAACGAATGACCTCTCACGTTACCATTGAAAACAACCTAACCTCATGATCGGCAATGCATAGCTATTACAAAGTGGTATCGCTGCAAACTAGCTGTCGCATGGCGTTACCATAGCAATATTAAAACATACACCTGAATGTAAAGCACTCGTATTTAAAGTAAGCTCTACTTGCCTTTACATCCTCGTGCATTTATATGATTCTGACAACCAACTTACTGAAAATGACAATGAAATGTGTCGCATCATTCGCAAGTTCTATACAGATTTGTTATCAACAACCCATAGATACAACGGCGCAAAACAAACCTTTCAGAGATCTGCGCCAACTTGGTGATGACTCAGTTTCTATGTGTGATAGCTCTATCACCGTCGACGATTTTTCACCTCAGTTACAACTATTACAGGGGGTCATGCTCCCGCAATTGATTGTATTCCTATTGCATTGTTCAAGATACCCTGGGGCATTGTTTGCCGCGATCTTTTGTCCTGCATAAGGGTGGTTGCCGACTTCTAAAACGCTATCGCTGCACCTGCAAATGTTCTTGGCAACCACTTTCTTGAATCAAAGTCAGAAAGTATTTTTTTAGGATTAACAGTTCACAGCACCTATTCCGTTTGCACGTGGTTATCCGCCAAGGTTGCGCCCTCTCTGACCAGTTATACACAATCGTAATTGGAATCTTGTAAAATGAGAACTAAAAGTGTTATGACGGGTAACCACATTCCGAAATCAAACAGAGACACTTTCAAAAATCAATGCCTCCAATGCCAAGATTAACGTACACGCATCAACAGGGTTATGGGTTGGGTCCTTGAAACACCGGACTGATGCTCCCATGGAGCTCTAGTACAACGAACCCGGATAAAAGTACTTGATGTGAACATTGGCAATGGTGCAACATTTAACATTAACAATTGGGAAGAGGCCATGAACAAAACTAAATGAAAGTTAGACTGGTGGGGGCGCTATTACTGGGCCAGTATATCTTCCCATGGGCGAGTATAATAGTCATACATCAAAAACAGTCTTGTTTTTCTCACACCACCCAACCTCGATATTTAATCTTTTTTAGCTTTGCTTTCGCATTAGTCGATCGGAGCTTATCATATGAGTGAGTGTCCTTGGCAGACCTCCCTTAATTCATTTCGTGATGATATCTTTAATAATCTAATTTTGGTGAATATCTTTGTCATTTTTGATAAAAAGTGATATTTTCGACTTGTTAAAACAGCAAGTCCGATTGCTTTGACACTATAGATAGATACCTCAGGTAGACCTCCTTAGATTTGTTCATTTTCTAATAATATCTTCAATTCTTTAATTGAAATGTGCGTTGCTAACAGCGGAGCTATCTCAGACGAGTGGGTGCTTCTCTTAATTTTGTTTGGAAAAGTCGTCACTGCCAACCAGCAGCACTTGCTTACATTCCACTAAAAACAAGAGGTCATAGTCTTGTACATCTTGATTCAATACATTCAAAGATACCTCTATTACAATTTACAACTTTCATGCTTGACTTTCACAGAATATTTGCTTTTCAATACACTAATCTTTTTCATGACCACTTTTTGTCCTTAAATTTGTCAAGGAAAAATACCCTAGTTTCTGTGAAAGAACCGTATTTGCACAATAAAATTATTATCAATACGCACAATGGTGAACCACTAGTACTAAAACACTTTGGTGTTGTCCATATCACAACTGTCGAAGAACTGTCCAGGAATCAATCCCACAATAAAATGCTGGCTAACCTCAGCTGACCTCAGATATAAAATTGGAATTTTTGGTAAATGCTCTCATTAAACAATCCATACCCACACAGTTTCTAGCAACATTGTATGACTATTTCTCTGGGGTTAACACGCCCTATTGTGACACGATCTATGCAATTGATCGTGTTCTTTTCAAGCAATGAAACAACACTGCCTTACACCACCAAGTTAGAGGAAAACTTTATAAATTACCCGTTTCATACAAAGATGAAGGAACACATTGATACAGTATAAAGAGATTTGTTATCACTACCAGTAAATATACCCCACATTTTAGCAGTACCTACACGAGGCGACCTCACGTGGCGAATACCACACGACACCTACACCACATGGAGGTATCTATATTCGTACAAATACCAGAATTCTGCCAACGTGTGTGCAGTGGCGAGTATGATGATTTAATGCATATCTTGACATACATCAATTTTTCTTTTACTTGGTTTTCAAGTGCCTTATTCATAGCCTTATTCATGACTCCAAAACCATCATGATCTGTTGGTCAACTTACCTGTCATTTAGAAAACAACCAACATATGGCAATTAGCTCATCTTTTGTAAGACTGCAATTAAGATATCGCGTTTAAATTAATGAATTAATGAAACTTGAGTTGAATGGAATATTTTTTTAAATACAAATCGTGAGTCTTGTTTGAAATTTGTACTTTCTAATCGGTAATTTTCGTATACCACTCGGATATTAATCCATGTCTTTAAAACATGTACAATGTTTCAGACGCCAAGTATACATGTTCTAATTAAATTACAATAATTCTAATTAAAGTTAATAAATTACTAAATGTCATGTATGAAGGTCGCCCGTACGCCGCCTACGTGTCAACGACGACCTCTTTTTTTACACTGTAAACAAAAAAGACATGTTAAAAAACAACCTACTGTCAGTACTGATAATGAACAAATACATGTTAAGAAATGCGATCACTCAAAAAGAAACAGAAAATGAAAATAATCTCAATGCAAACAAATTATTGAAAAAAACACTGTTCATATAGGCGAACCTCAAATAATTGTTATCGAACCTCTTTTTAACAATAACCTAATGTTATAGACAATCTGTCTTCAACATGTCATCTATTTGTTGACGCAGACAGTGACTACTGACTTTGTCTCACACAAGAGAAGGAAGACAATTACAAGTTTATTACTCATTCAAAGTTGTATACAAAATTACCATTTTATCAAATTATAATTTGGAGAGATCCTTTCTTTTATCTTTGCCCACTTTAAAGGGTGCTCTCCCCTCCCGACATCAAAAAGAAAAGGTGACCCATTATGGCACCTTTTACATGGTTCGTATCAAACCGTCAAATACTGTCAATAATAAAAAAATAACCTTGAAAATAATAAATGCTCTGTAAAAATCTAGTCTTACATATACATCTTTAATGTGGGCGTCTCAAATTATTATTGAACGTTCTGTGTAAAAGTAAATTAACCCTCTACACTGGTACATACTGCTCTAACAAAACTAAGTTCGACTGCATAAACTGTTTCTTTACTTCTAATATTGTGCTGATTATAATTTGTATTATAAAATTGACACACTCGTTTATTTAAATTACGCATTTGTTTGCATATAAGGAATGTAATTTTTAATGCAATAAACGTTCATATTTTGATTTTTTTTTATCCGGCTAGGACGTGTAAATTGGGTTCTCCTGTAAGAAACAAGACGGAATGCGCTGAAAGGCTTTTTTTATCCACTGTTATTTTATTGCAATGGTTATGTGAATATATTACTTATCTGGTTCTCTTCTTCTCCATTTCCCGTTTCTTGTCAAGTCATGTAAAAGTACATGTGGTTGACAGGATGAGAAGATTGTTGTGATTTTTAGTTTGACTTCTTTTTTGTG